GCTGGTGTTTACAGGGAGGAGACAGCAGTGACAGGGCGACGAAAGCAAACAGAAGAAAAGTTCATTATATTCCCGAACAACTAAATTAGGGAAAAAGGGAGGTTAAATAATAGATAGACCGATGAAGTTAGGCTTGGTGAAAGGCGGGGAAATGTATAATAGGTGAAAAGAAACAGCAATGTGTGAGTCAAATTCGAGAGAAATTTATGAATGTTTGGGTCCGTGTACATAGTTATGCACAATCCTGATTTTTGTAAGGTACACGATGTAAATCATAGAGATATTTCCCAGATCATAAGGATAATCATGAACGATAAGGACTGCCTCCGAATGCATTGCCAATTTCGTGGACGCACATGAATGTTTTGTTCATAATTATAGTAGAATAGTAATTCAGATGCTGAATCGTACCCCTCATCTGAAGATGCACGTTTCCTGTTTCTTCTTCACAGCTTCTATAAGTATATATTGTAGAAGTCTTTTGTGAGACACGAAAGTTAAATTTTCCCTGTGGTCGCTTTGCGACGAAAATCATAACGGTGGTTCGGAAATAATTTCGAAATCGACAAAGAATTTTTCAAAAATCTTCTTTCATTCACAAAGTTAGCCAATCCAAATGAGGTTGAAAAAGTTTGTCAGCAGGGTGGTGAGAAGAGGCTTGTCACAAACATTTTCGATTTTTTGCATTGCCGTTCTTAGCATGAAAATGTGATCAGTAATCGTATGGCAAAAGTTTTATCCATTCATAATTAATATCACAGCAGAAGGACATTACCAGCACAGCTTCTAGAGTAGGCAGGTTGCCTTCTCTGAAAACGGTAGATGACCGTACTTGTAAACTTCCGGTGGAACTGCCTCAGTAGCTACGTTTTTAATTGAACGGATCTCGCGGTGCCCTACGCATCTCCTTAAAGGAACATTGGTGGCAAGAATCAGTATTAATATCTATTTTAGGAGGCCTGCTATATGCAAGCTGGGCCGATCGGTTAGAGTCGTTGATTGCTTGCGCGACATGTGTTTTTTTGTATGACAGATCCCTCTGGAGGCCTAAAATATAAATTTATTCATCTTCTTTGTGGCCTGAAATAGAGCAGTTGAGGTCTTACCTGCCTTATAGTTTCCGCCAGGCCACGATGTAGGAATTCTTCAACAGAAATGGGTATTGGTTCAGATTCGATGAGTTCTGTGTTATATACACCCGTGACAGTCGGAAATAATTTGTCCGTATGACGATATCCAACATATTAATAAATGTCTTTTGGCTTACAAATGGATCTCCTTTTAACGTTCTTAAACCGTATTGCCATTTAAGTGGACATAGAAAGGACGTAACTTTGTTTTTAAAGGTTCTGGGAGAGGTTTTTTACATTTGCCTACATTTCGCTTAATAATTGTGAACTGAACTGAAATGAAAACTGCGTACTTTCTGGTAATTTCCGTAAAATCTGTTTCAGTGATGCTGATATGTCGGCTCAGCGCCCTTTTTCCCGGAGATATAGAATAGATTACGCCCTGTAGTTTGTTCCATCCGTTCTAAACGCCTCCACACTACGGGAATTGCTTTTCATTTAGATTCTGGTCTAATTTGCTACGAAGCTCGTGACTAGATTCAGTAAATAGATTCGAGCACATAGCATTGGCAATAAAAACTAGGGGGACTGATCAGTTTATATAAACGTTCGTGTCGGCACGAATAGCATATTTGCCAGTAGTGTAATTGTCTTTAAACATTGGGACGAGTGTTTAGACTTGAAGATTACTGGAGCGCAGAGTTTCTTATGTTCCTCAATATTTTAAAGGTGCCGCACATCAAGCAGGTACGAGAAAGAATTGTCTCTCTCATTGGTCCTTCAGGTGCGGAAGTTGAATAACACAGCTTCGTCACATTTACAATATAGCGGGCAACGGGCAGACCGGCTTCCACGTCGAATTAGACAATCGCCAAATGTGTGCCTCATTGCGTCTGATCCGATGCATACAAGAGTTAGTCCTTGTCAGTAAGGACGACAGTCGAGGCTGCAGTGCCGCCATGTTTGGTGACGATGTCGAGCTCTCTAGAGCCATAATGTCTGACACCGACAGACACACATGTCAACATATTCTTAATTAACTTAGTACCTATTGTCCTCATTACCTCCTAAATTTCAACCTTGGTTAAGTTCTGGTGTTCAGATTCCATGCCTGAGGGACAAACATGAAAGTTGACTTTTTTTCCGGAGTTCTTTGATGGACAGCCGCCTTCAAACGTTGAGGAACAGAAAGAACTTTGTGTTATATGACCTCCATGCCTAAACCTCTTTTTGTAAACAGTTATGGGACTGCGGTCTCTGCAATGAACATAAATAGCTTCTTGGAGCCAAAGAAGAATTGAGCATTTATACGAGACAGAGAGGAATAAATGTCTTGTACAATAAAACACCCATTAGGGTTATAATACAACAAGTTCACTCCTCAGTGTGAAGGAACATTGCCCATCCCAACCCTGGCAGGGAGACGAAACTTTAAATGTCTGAGTGTTGGCTTGTAACCGACTTCTGTTCACTCTAACGTAGGCTACATAATATCATGCCATTTCCGATTCATAGACATTCCTGTTTATGTGTCTGCACACATTGCACAAAAAATTCTTTTCGCTCGATTCCTGTCTCCCCGACGTGTGATCTGAGGCTCGAACGCGGAATGGCCATTAACTGCTTTCTCAGTAAGGTATTTTGGAAGCGGCCCCTCAAACGTGCACATGTTTTGCGGAACCTCATAAAAATGGGTAAGTTTAACAAAACCCGTTTAAGAAACAGCTATCTTACTCACCGGCAACCTTATATTTTACTGATGCTCAATAAAGAAAGAAAGTCATGCAAGGTTATTCGGTAAGAACCTATAACTAACTACTTAACTTTTAAGGAGGGTCCTGCATTTAAAACCCGCATGCGGAAGCTCGGAATCCATTCAGTAAGTAATAACTCAAACTATATGACTCAACAGCATAGTTGTATATGGAAAGAAATCATTTAACTATTTGATATACTTTAATCTCTTAACCAATAAAAGTGCAAAAAGTACTCTATTTACTCAAGACGTAAATACTTTGAAAGAACGGATGATTTCCATTAGACCGCATTGCAAATGGGAGAATACAAATTTGTATTCACCAATATTTACCCGAATTACATTTCTAATAAGCATAGCATCATAAATGGACAGTTAAGGTCAATTTACTTCGATCACGTTTCATAATCTGACGTGGTAGTTGATGATCCAGTGTTGTGACATTCATCACGTCAGTGTCCTCTTCGGATTTAATTTGCTCTGAGCTGTGTGCCCGAGTCCCCTTCCTCCAAGAATTATGTTAGTGTTGACCTCTTTTTTCCAGTCGACTGCACACTGGCGTTTAATCGAGTCCCCCGGCCAAGCACCACTTAATTGCTTGCTTGAATACTGTCCCTACCCCCCGTTCAGCTTTCTCGGCCTTCTACAAGAAAGTGGACGAGACACAACAACTGTCGGACCGGGCTATCCTGAACACACTTGACCTAGTTGTCAGTTCGCGTGGTGATATAGAGGCGACTGCGGTGAGGATCACTTGAAACCCCTTTGCCCGATTGACACATTCTAAGGCCATTTGCATACCCCCAGCAGCGACAGATCATTTTTGTTGTAGTGGAATTTCACGCAGTATGCCAAAGTCTACAATTAGCTCAGAATTTCCGAAAAGTTCCACAGCCGCAGTGAAATTCTGGATAAAATTGGCATTTAATTAAAAAAGAGAAGTCAGCGTCCCACACGGTTTTCTTTGCTGACGCCGTATCTGAAACTCTGGTTACTAAGGGCCCCAGAGAATGCCAGGTGGTCCAGAGTATAGTGCTCATAAATGCACGCACCCGTCTAATGTAGCACACACCACAGTTTTAAATTATAAGACTAATAGCGGGGTTAACTTGGTCGCAGTTTAGAGGTGAGTGCGAGAATTAACCATAAACCGGAATATTCTGAATTATTAGCTTAGGAAACTATGCGTTTTTAGGCAAGACGAGAAGTTTAACTGCTACGTGCTTCTGGTAGTTCCAGAACGTAGGTTTCGAGAGTAGAATGGTTGGCCACTGCCGTATTCGAGAGACTTGGAGGCTGAGATCGAGTCCTTTACTTAAGTTACGTCATGGTAAAATCTTCCTTGTACGCCAGAGACAAAGGAAGCAGCAGTGGAAAGATTTACTGGTCTTCGGAACCTTCTGAAGGTCAGACGTATTGCTAATTGT